GATTATCTGTTTTAACAGTCATGTGAGGAAGAATAAAAGGCGGTATCTACATTCCTTTCTCAGAAAAAAAAAAACCTGACATACAAAATAATGCATAGTTTTAACTTTTCAATTAGGTAAGTTTGAGTTAAATAGTGTTGACTTTGTTTGTCCTCACTAATACCAAAAATACTACCATCCTGCATTAAACATTGAAAAATTTTAAGTCACTAACACTATTCTAAAATGCCCATGACAGCTTTTGTATTCATTGCAAGCTTAGATTTTAAATCTCAATTGCTGTATCTTTTGTTTATCATTAAGAGAAGTTCATCTATTAATTACATTTAGCAATTGAGAAAATTGTTATTTTGGATCATGATTTATGAATGTATATAATGTAAATGTCCATTATTCATTATTTGTGTTTACCCACAAGTGATCTTATATTACTTTTTATGATATTAAATAGTTTGGATTCTATAGTGAGAAGGGACCTTCCAGAATATAGTCTAGCCTTTTCCTGGTGGCACACTGGTGGATGTCTACCCAATAGTCATTCCTCTCCTTCTTGCTGATCTTGCTCAACTTTTGAGCACTCTCATGTTCCATGGGTTCCTTTCCAGTCCCAGCACTTGAAAATTGAATGGTCTAAACCAGTGGCTCTCATTAGAGTTGACACTAACCCTTAGCAGGCATCTGGGAGCCCTGTGGGCATGTTTTGGTGTACCACAAGGACAGGAGGTGTGGCTGGCATTTAGATGGCTTAGCAGACAATGCTGGTTGTCCTGCAATGAGTGGGGCATTCCCACACAATGAATAATTTCCTACCTACCTCACAACTTTTGAGTATGCCAAAACTTTAATTAGAAAAAAAACAAAATAAACAAAACAAAACAAAAACTGACTTTAATATTCTGAGACCAGAATTTAAACCAAAGGACTTTGTATGGTTTTAACATACACTGACCTCTGAATAGCTAATTCCCATATAATTTGAAAAAAGACTTAAATTTCCTTAGGCTCTGAACCTCTAGTTGGCCATAAAACCATTTCCCTGGACATTTTTGGCATTTCATTTCTAATAAAAAATTGAAATGGAAGTAGAGACTAATTTGCTCCTGTGCTCTTGGACAGGGAGGCAGGCAGCATCAGCAATGTAAGTGAGGAGAATGCGGTGTGGACTGCGTGAACATGCGTGGCAAAACCTGCACATCTACTGCAAGAACCTTAAGACTCCAGACAGGCTTGAGAGCAGTATACACGCGACAGGCACCAGCCTGTGATTGGGAGAGAGATGAAGGCAACGATCCAGTACAAACACTCAGAGCCTCAGAGAACAGAGTGGACTACAGATTAGGAATTCAGGTTGTTTGGGCAGAGACCAAAAATTCAGGTAGTTTACAAATACAATAATGAGAAGTCTGAAATCCAGGAGGCCATCTGTGAAGCACAGAACAGGAAATTAAACAAGACTATTAAGAATCAGGGCACTGTAAGCCCATTCACAGAGACTAAACAGGGTTTAGAATTTAGAGGATGGTTGTGGACGATAGCAGAAACAAGAACATTAGTATTTAAACAATCCTTTATTTCAACTGCAGTATCAGGAACTTTTCCCCACACCGTAGTCCATTTCTACTCCATACTTTTTTGATGTATCAGTAAACTAACCCTATGAAAGTCATTTTTTCCCCTTGGCTAGGAAAGGAGGGCTTTTTTGTTTGTTTGTTTTTGTTTTTTGTTTTAAAAAGCAACTGGAGCTAGACTATCAAAGAATTCACATTCCAAGGTTAATCTGGGAAGAAGTGCCTGATTTGCAGTTCGTCATGTTCTGATCCTTCTTTCTCTCTTTTGATATTCTGGTTTCTGACCACCCACATAATTCTTAGCACACACTAGTCTCATCAGACCCAGGTAAGCTATTTCCCTTTTCCCCACGTATTCTCCTCACCTCTGAAATGTCGCTTATTCCAACTGCACTGCGTATATGTACTAACCACTTGTGATGACCCTTACGTCCCAGATCTCTGACACTGGATATACAACGACGGGATAGGCCCCTGTCTAGGTGGAGGCACCCAAGTAAGCAAGTGGCTAAATATGGATGATATATTTTATAGCAGAATAAAGAAAAGGTGCTGAGAGCAAACAGAGAATATCAACTAATTGCCTACATTTATTCATTAACACTAATCCATTCAGCTACTATGTATAAAACAACCATAGATGCCAAGTCATGTAATAAAATTGGCAATGTTGGAGAGGAGACTCGATTTTTGTTTTCTCTGGCTAACTGTGTCCTCAGACTTCCCCTCTTACTGGTTCTCAGATGTGAATATGAATTGTACCACCTGGGGAGCTTGATAAAATACAAATCACTGACACAACACCCCGGAGACCTGGATTCAAGCTGTCAGCATGGGTCCTGAGGATCCGCAGATTACTAGGCAGTTCAGGTGGTTGTGATTTGAGGATCTGAGGATCTGACTTTGAGAAAGACAGTTTATAACAATCATCCTCACGATGTGCTCCCTGGAGCATCAGTATCAGCATCCCTTGGAGACTTGTTAGAAATGCGGATGCTCACTCCCACCTCACACCTATTAAATCAGGAACTCTGGGGGGGTGGGGCCCAACAAACTGTTCTAATAAGCCCTCTAAGTGTTCTGATGCATACTGAAAATCACACACTGGAGTGGAGTAATTGCCTGAAGACTGTAAAACAGATCACACAGCTCTGCCTGACGTATTTGGAAAGTAAATTATTATATTATTTATTGTATTTATGTGTATTATATTACATAGCAGAAATAATATTTCTGCAACTGCATCAGGGAACACACTTTGTGTCTTTACACATTGCCAAATTCCATTGTTTACGGCAAAGATAAACTGAGAACCAGAGTCCTAGTTAGAACAAGGATTACCCTACACCTCAGATTCAAACATTTGATTCAAGGACAGACAAAGTTTGGTATTTAGACAGGCCGACGGCTGGCCAAGTGTTACAATGGAGTATATCATTTCATCCCAGCAATTGTTCACACACAGTTAGAGAAGAACTGTAATTTTTCCCAGTGCATACCTAGAACAGGACTTTTCATATAACGGGAAAGCGATCTATGGACTTAATGGTAGTTTTGGTAAAATGGTTAATACAATCACAGGGCTTACATGGGGGAAGGAGGGGGAAATTTCAGCCACAATAATACTCCCAGTCAAAAAGAAACAAATAAGTGAAAGAGAATGTGACAATGAAAGTATGTATGTTCATGTATAACAGAAAAATTGTGCTCTACACTGGAATTTGACACAACATTGTAAAATGACTATAACTCAATAAGAAAATGTTTAAAAAAAGAAACAAATAAAAGCCCTTCAAATAAAATGCCTAATACCTGACACATTTTCTAAAATAAAAATTACTCAGTGATCTTTTTATCCATCTCAGAGCATATAATTTCTCATAAAAAGACTGCAAGTCATCATTACAAAGTTTGTGAATTCACACACCATATTGGGAAGGCATGACTGGCCAGTGGTTTAAGGTCTACATTCTGAGGTTTTAATACGGATCAGAACTACCTGAGGAGCTATGCCTTGAGCAAAAAAGTCAGTGTCAAACTTCCAGCAAGTCACAGGGAAACACAGATTGCTGAGACCAACTGACAAGTTTCTAATTCAGTGGGACTAAGATTAGGCCAAGAGTTTGTATTTCTAGCAAGTTCCACACTTCAAGAACCACTATTTTAGAGAACAGTAGATGTTA